CTATCCATCAGGCATCAAAGGTTACAGACTATATGACCTTAACTCCCATGAGCTTTTCATCTCTAGAGATGTTCAGTTTCATGAAACTGAATTCCCCTTTCAGTCATCCCCCACCCCTCAACCAAACTCACAAAATCAACCACCTACATATCCTATCCCATCTCCTCCTGTCCCTGATGAACCTCCTGTTTTACACCCTACTGAACCAATACCAGATCCATCACCTTCTTCCTCCAATATCCCTCTCATCAGTCCTTTACCCTCACCATCCCCACCTATCCCTTCCACTGACCTTCCTATTGCCATAAGGAAACAACCTAGGACCATCAAACCACCAACCAAATTACAACAATACCATTGCAACCTGCTTCAGCAGATTTCTTCTACTGGTCACTCTCTCCAGCAACAGGTCACAGGTATTACCTACCCCCTCTCCCATGTTTTGGACTACACATCTCTCTCCTCATCATATGAAATACATCTTAAACATTTCTTCTCACAAAGAACCAGAGACTTATGAGGAAGCTGCCCTCAGACCAGAATGGAACAAGGCCATCAATCATGAGATTGATTCCCTTGAAAGGAATCAAACATGGGATGTTGTATCCCTTCCCCCACAGAGAAAACCTCTTGGGAACAAGTGGATATTTAAGTACAAATTTCTATCAGATGGCTCACTTGAAAGAGAAAAGGCCAGATTGGTTGCCAAAGGCTACAACCAACAAGAAGGGATAGACTACCAGAATACTTTTGCTCCTGTTGTCAAGATGACAACCGTCAGACTTTTTCTTTCTATTGCTGCTTCAAAGTCATGGCATGTTCACCAACTAGATGTGAACAATGTCTTTCTCCATGGAGGCCTAACAGAAGAGGTCTACATGAAGCTTCCTAAGGGTTACAAACCACCACCAAACATCATTAACCCTGTTTGCAGGCTAAAGAAGTCACTTTATGGCCTCAAACAAGCCTCTAGACAGTGGTTTGCTAAACTAGCAGATTGCCTTGTTCAACAAGGTTTTGTTCCCAGTCAGGTTGATCATTCCCTATTTTCTAAATCAGTGGATAATTCTTACACCTGTGTACTGGTTTATGTTGATGACCTCTTGGTTGGAGGTAATGATTTGGCAGCAATCAATTAGTTAAAAGAAGTACTTCATCAAGCATTCAGCATCAAGGATATGGGCCAACTCAAATTCTTTCTAGGCATTGAAGTTGCCAGAAACCAGTCTGGAATTCATTTATCACAAAGGAAATATACATTGGTGATGATCTTGGAAGAAGCTGATGTCTTACTATCCAAGCCTGTTTCTACCCCTATGGATTACAAGCAACATCTATCTTCTACTCATTCTGATCCCTATCCAGACCCTTCATTCTACAGAAGATTAGTGGGCAAGCTTATCTACTTGACTACCACTCGCCCTGACATCAGCTTTGCCACCCAGCAGGTGGCCCAATTCATGTCCAATCCCAACAATTTGCATTATCAAGCAGTCACAAGGATTCTCAGGTACCTTAAATATGCTCCATCAACTGGCCTCTTCTATCCATCCAATTCTACCCTTCACTTGAAGTCTTTCAGTGACTCTGACTGGGCATCCTGCATGGACACACGCCGCTCGGTCACCGGCTACTGTGTTTATCTCGGCAATGCCCTAATCTCCTGGAGGAGCAAGAAACAGAAAACAATTTCTAGGTCATCGTGTGAAGCAGAGTACAGAGCCATGGCAGACACTACATGTGAGCTTCAATCACTACTTTACCTCCTTCACGACTTCCAGATTCCACATCAGCAGCCAGCAGTTCTCTACTGCGACAATCAATCAGCGCTCCATATTGCCGAAAATCCGACTTTCCACGAAAGGACCAAACATATTGAGTTGGACTGTCACCTGGTCCGGCAGAAGCTCCTAAATGGCACAATCAAGCTACTTCATGTTTCCTCCCTGCATCAATTGGCCGACATCTTCACCAAAGCTCTTCCTCCAGCCCTCTTCTCCACTCTCCTCTCTAAGCTCGGTGTGCACAATCTCTGCCCACCAGCTTGCGGGGGGGGGGGGGGGCGGGGTATCAGAGACAAATTCAAAAATTTCATCCGCCTCTCCAACGGCCACCAAAGCAATCAGATGGAGCGACGTCGTCTCAGGGAAGTCAGGCAACACTTCGACTGGAACGCTGCCGTCTCAAAGTCACACTTCGAAGATGATCAATACGCTGCCGTAGAGAACATCCAAGACTGAAGGAAGAAACGTCGCCGTTGTGTACTGGAGACACAACGTCTCTTTCCCTTGTCCAGAATTTGTTCCCTCTTTCTCTGTTTTTCTGTACTTCTTCTCTGCCAAGTTACAGCTAGAGCTTCTTGTCTTGTAATGCACGATCCTTGTATATAAACTCTATTGAATCAATGAGAAAAGCCAAGTTAGGGTTTCCAAGCATACCTGTTGTTAACCGTAAACAAAATTTTCAATTGAAATACATCACTTAACCGAATTATTTCCACCTTAAGCCCTATTCGATTGTTTCGAGCAACCGAAGAAGTAGTCATGTCTGGTGGCAGTTTTTCCAGCAACTGAGATTTACGTAAGAGTGTAGACATTGAATGTATTTTGTGGTTCTCTAAAAATATAAAAACGAATCGTGATTATTTATTAAAATAATGATTACATTAATCGTTTGTTTCTTACCAAATGAATGAATTATTAGAATATTATTAGTTGATTATTCATATTGGGCTAACTGTGTGGTTGGGCTAACCGTGCATGTGTGAACCAAAAGGTTTGAAGCTATCCTGTTCTTGCCACGCAAAGACACATCTAATCATGATGCAATTGTTGGCATTGTCTTGTTGCTGCAGTGTAGGAGATGCATCTTAGTATAGAATGCCATTGAGAACCCCATCGTATTCGTATCCGAGGGCAAATTCAAATTTTACATTCACTTGCCTACGGAGGATTACATGATTAATGGGTTAAAATTATTTGAGAAATTGAGGTTATCACTTAAATGTAAACGTATTTGTTGGGGCATACAGTGAGTGGCCCAAGCAAGGAGCCTAGGAGGACGAAATGGACTGAAGGTATGAGCCTGGCAGGAAGAAAGCTCAGCCCAAAGAGGGGCTAGAGGTTGTAACCAGGCAGTGGGACCAAAGGTAAAGCGCATGGCAACAAAAAGGGGGGCAACGGCCGAAAGCGTACGGAGGGGACATGAGCTGGGACCATGCGCCTCGATGGCGAAAGTCGGTGTCAGAGTGTCGGGGCGCATGGAAGGGGAAAGGTACAGTGCATTTAATGAGATGATGACGTGGGGCAGATTTGGGGGCAGTGGTCGACCCTACCCTGGGTATAAATAGTGAAGTGGGTGGAGCTCATTTACTCAGGTTCTAACTTCTCTCTAAAACTTGTATCTCACTTCTCTCTCTAGAAAGTTCGTTCTGACTTGGGCGTTGGAGTGCTAACGAGCCCTTCCCAAGGGGGCTCGGTGGGCGCCTTTGTGTGCAGGAGGGAGGACGTGGAGCAGAAGCGTGCGAGAGATAGGAGGTGGGTGAGAGCCATTGGGAGCGGCAGGTTACGTAGCACAAACAGTATTAGAGTTAAAAAAAAAAAAAATTAAGCTATCTGAGCAACCTTGCCCAGCCTCCGAGCCAGGTAATATCCAGCCAGACCTATAAGGATGGACCAGTTGAAGGCTAAATCTGAGGCGGCTAAATGTTCTCAACCTTTATTACAGTTCGTGTCTGTTGAGCGGAAAGAGTGTCTTGAAATTTTGCAACTGAACAAATGACGTGAGACAACAGAAAGCACTAAAAGTTCATTACACGCAAGAGAAAGCTTCTCAATACTTCGGCTTAATTAACCAGCAAATCTCGGGCCTTTCCAGTTTGGCCGGGCTGTAAAACTAGGCTGTGTCCCAGAAGCCGTATCAGACTTGCATTGCACATTGGCAGAAGCAGAAAATTGTGTACCATCAGTTTCCAAAGGCACTTTGCCGGAAAATGGGAACTGCAATACGATTTCAGGCGTGGCGGCGGATGGTCACAACTGACCAGGACTGAGCTCAGCCGCGTAAGGATCTCTCAATAGCTGATGTGGTTGAGACTGCTGAGAGTAATCACTGACATAAGCGGACTGGGAAGAGTGCAGCCGAGCCTCGGCTGACTGCAGTTCGATGTGAGGCAACTGGAAGAAGGACTGAGGCACACTTGCTGCAGGGCTTGCGTGAGCTGCTTCAAGTGAAGCTATCGTCGTTGATCGCTGCTGCTCGCAAGAGCCCCATGACGAGTTGGTTGACAGAAGAGAGAGAGCACGGTGGAGATCCTGTGTAGCATCATCATTCGCATTTAGCGACATGGTGGATTCTTCCGCCTCGATTCCTGCAATGAAAATGTCAGCCCTTCAGCACTTACGAAAAGATGCACCCAGCAATATTGTGGTGGATTGAAGTCTAAGAACCGCACCTTGACTTGGATTATCTGTTGCTATCCCTTTTGCCTTCGCAGGCAACAAGCCGTGATGATGAGCAACAGCCATTGAGGAGACTGCTGGCTGACTTGTTGACGGCTTAAAGGAGTAGTCCTTTGTTATTGTGAACTTGGAACCAGAGGTGTCTTCCCAGAACAAATACCCACCTGCCCTTCCTTGGACCAGGGGACTCCTGCTACTTTCCCATCCAAAGCTCATCCTTTGCCTCTCGTCTGCAAAACGAAAAACGGCGTCCAGTTCATAACAGGAATTGAATTCATTCCTAGGCAATGAAAGTACACCATCAGTACCAAAGATGGACGAATGCATCCTCGAGGGATTGAAACGAAGTGACTCCCCCTGTGGCTTGCGACGCCTTGCATTGTGATCAGAGAGCCGCTTTCTACAGCTCCTCTTCTTCTCATCAAACTCTGACAAGCTATGGAACCTTTGAAAAACCCCATTCAAACATACAAGTCAAATATACACTTAACTGATCATTCCACAGGTTACAATGATGAGAATGCTCGGAGTGATTTTTACCTGCTGCATTGCTGACAGAACCTTCTTTCCACCCCAGCAACAACCACCTTCGGACACTTTGAATGCCCTTCGCAAACTCTATGCTTCTTATGGTAATCCTTGGCCGCAGAGAGATCGAGGTTGCACCCTTCCACCTGGCAGAACACAGCCACACAATTCGACTTCGATCGCTTTGCTAAATTAGCAGCAGCAGCAGCAGCAACAACAGTAGCAGCAGGCCCAGCCTTACAATTGCTCCCACAGCTCGAGTCTTCGAAATAAGTTCGTTTCCCAAGCTTCAAACCAAGCAGAGGCTCACCTGTAGTATTGATTGGCTTGGCTTCTCCGGTGGATGAAGAATTGGTGATGGAAGCTGACTTTGAAGAGAAAGAAGAACCAGCAGCGAGACCCAATTCAGAGATGGAACCACCAGAGTTGTCATTGCAGCAGCCTCCGGATGAGAAGAATGAACCAGAATCAGCAGCTGCTTCTCTTACCCCATCGTCAAATTCCCAATCTAAGTTACCATCTAGCTTCCTGGGATTCGGATTCTCGGCAGAATTTGGATTGTACATTATGAGATTCTCCCAGTCCCATTGCAATTGAGGCTTGTGATTCCACTCCATCACTGAGACACAAGTCATAGAGGATTTTGACCTCACCACCAGATCCTGCAACCAGAAATGAAACAGGGTACTCTTTTAACTAATCTGACGTATTTCAACAGATGAATGAAACGTGAAGCCCATAACAAGGGATCTAACCTCAAAAGTTTGCAACTTTTCTTCATCCCAGATCTACAATTTCCCTCTAAACTGAATTGAAGCTGAAGCTGTTGAAATCCAAGCTCAAGAGGGTCAAAAGATATCAACTACACTGAAATTATTGAACTAAACCCACAACACCACCACAGCTTCAAATTAGCAGGAACCCATTCAAGAGATTTGCAGATTCCATCCACCAATAAAGAGAAAAAAGCTCCATGATTTCTTCAATGTCAGTAGCTACTGAACTGCTTCCCCACCATCCATCAAGAAAGAAAAGAAAGAAGAGCCCTTTAATGCCAACAAAAGCAGGACCCTTTAACCCACTCCCTCTCTCACTCGCAGGGCCCTCTGCTACAGTGATAGATTTTTCTTATCTTGCTGCTGTTATTTTCAAAGCGATGCTAAGGGGGAGGAAGAGGAGAGAAATGTTTCACCTTTTTCACTCTACTGAAGCCGGTATGGGCGCGATGTGGAGCTCCTTGCTGTTTCTTTTAACTAGCGAGATGATAATCGTTCATCAGTAGCATGATTTGTATTGAGGGAAGAGACAGAGAGGTGGAGATGTTTTAGTAGGGCCATGCTTCCATAATTCGCCATAAATTGGAAAGGGCGTAAAATCAACAACCCAAGAGAAGCCATGGATGATCCAGGTTTCTCCACATCACTAAATTGACTGTTGAAAAAAGCTTTCCCCTTTTCTCACTGGCCTTTCTTTGGGGTATAGTTGGTTTTCGTTATCATTTTTGTTTCCTCTTTTCTATATTATTATATCTCTCTCTGACTTGAGTCCCCACGGTGATGGACCAGCATTGTGCCGTCCACTTTGAAGCTCAACTACTATGATGTTTGTTTGCCTTGGGAACAGCGTGTGGGGTATATGAAACGTTGACGTTTAATGGAGATGGGGGGAGGAGCTAAGCTAGCCGACGGGAGATGAGATAAGACTTGGAGGGAGTAGCAAAACGACAGAGGGAAGAAAAGGGATATAGATTCCCAAATGGATTGTGTTATGTGAAAATGTTGTTGTTTGGGATTTTGAGGTCGTAAGACATTGATTGTTTTGGACTAGTTAGTAAGTGTTCAAGCCGAAACATGGATTGTGCTTAAAAATTTTCATGTCGAAATCTGAGCAAGAATCAATTCAAAGGATAGCTAAAGTCGCAATTCGATCAGGTGACAAAAGACCCTCATTTCCTTTATGTGCGCTCTCCGTTAGATGTACACGTAGGTGCGCGATTCCAACCTCGTGAAGTGTTGAGAAACTCGTGATTATCAACAAGATATCACCGCAAACCGCGCAGAAAATTGGTAGACCAGGCTTCTAGCACCATAGTCGAATTGCTAAAGTAGTTTTCCGAAAGGTTAAAAAAAAAATGTCCATTCCCCTCATATTTCTTTATTGATTTGAATTGGAGCCGTATAAAAGGACGAGAACAATCCGCCTCACCAAATCCGGGAAGCGTTACACTCGACCGATGCGAAATGACATCCCACAAACTAAACAAACAAACAGATTCATCATCGTACGGGGACGGGCAATCGGGCATGGGGAGAAGGAAAGTTAAAATAATGTTTGCCGACTTTCTTCTATCGCTTTCGTTTTCATTGGCGAGAAAAGAAAATAGAAAGAGAGGGTCTTCTTCTTCTGCGCTGTTCAATCTCTAACGAGAAACTTTTAATTATTACAGTTCAGCAGTTAGTTGGATTGTATTCAATTCAAGGTCGATCATCTACTGTCATAATAAAAAAATAAAAAAAGGCGAGCTGAAGTAGAAGGTAAGAACAAACCAATTAAAGGGCCACCAGCTGATTGCAGGAGGGCTTGCCTTGGCTTCTCTCTGCAAATTTCCACTGCCAATAAATGCATGCTATTGCTGTTGTTGCAGTAACTGCCTTTACTAGCTGTAATTTTGCATGCATGGACACCTTTTTTCACTGCCTTTACCTGCTGTTATTATTATGTTTTGTTTTTAACTTATCAGTTTTCTTTCTGTATATAATTTGGCCATTTCCTCAATTGCTACTTGCTAGGGAATAATCCAAGAATTAATTGCTGTTGGCTTCTTCAGTACTCGTCAGATTGATTGGCTACAGTGTCATTGAGAGCCTCGTTGGGAGGTTTGTTCTGCTTAAGTTGGCGATTTACACATCTAGAGTTTGAGCTTAGCTAGTGTTCAATATGGGTGCATCCGAGCGAGTTCAATTTTCAATGTTCATATTGTTAACTCACATAACTCTTTCGATGAGTAGATGTTATAAAAAAAAAATTCATTTCTCGTCGCTCAATAATTTATAAATGAGACCAATTAGGTTTCGGTATGATATTAGAGCCTATAATAATCAAAATGTCATGCATTCGAATTTCAATAATCCATAATATTTACAGTTGATCAAAGCAAATAATATGAGAGGTTTTTGCAAACGTCAAACTCATTATTCTATTTCTGTTTGAGGGAGTGCGTAAAAAGATAGTGATAAGATTTATTATTCAATTTCACCCAAATAACTCACTGTTGATGTGACTTGAATCGAACTATCAGCCGCTATGACTGGTGTATGGGCTCAATGTTATTTGGGTTCGGGTTCTGGGCCTGGTCTGTAACCGTTTTCTTTGCCAGATTGGATTAGGTTTAGACCCACATGGAGAAGTACTATAAATACTTCTCATACTCCTCTGTAATCTGTAATCTCCTCGATATAGTGAAACTGACTCTCTCTCGTCCGTGGACGTAGCTAACACACATCATGTTAGTGAACCACGTAAATCGTGTGTCTGTTTTTTTCGATTCTCGCTTTCGTATTCTTCCTTTATCGATTCCGGCAATTTCCCGATCCGTAGCAGCACGTTTATAACACTCGCAGTTTCATTCTTTTGAGAATATTGTTTCTTATCTTTTTTAGTAGCCAGCAATATTATCAACAGTGATAGCTTAATGAGCAAGCAATTTATTACTATATTCTCCCCAATTGGTTCAACCGTTATTATTGTTAAGGGGATTCCTAATTATTATTATAATAAACAGACACCCTAATTGATAATTGCCCACTAGAAGGTTTGAACATGATAATAAACAGACAAATTGAGCAAAAGGAATATAATTAAATTATTGTACCATGTTTCAGAGAATCAACCTGAATCATTTGTCGGGATAACAAGCCATAACCTAGATGCCAAATAACACCAACTAATATAAGCACCCACCATTCATGTGGGTAAATGGATAGATTACTTTATAACTACACACAAATAAATTAACTTGGGAGGGGGGGAATGGATTAATTAATGAATTCCAATGCCCAACTTGCTTAAGATAAGTTAAGGAACGGAAATGGCTCCACACAACTGGTTATTAAAGAGTGTTTTGTTTAGTTCATGTGACCATTAACATAATGACTAATGAGGTTTTTTTTTTTTTTTGTCTATTCTTCAGTTTTCGATTTTGCACTATCTGACTCTGACACAATCAATGTTTATGATGCAAGAATGAAGGGAGCCATGAGCATACTAGCCATTTATTCCAGTTTAGAAGCCTCCTCCAACAGGATTGTTTTGTTAGAATTTCTCACAATTATAATGAGATAAACTCTATAGCTTAATGACGAACTCACATGAATTTATCTATATGCGTTTAGATTTACATTTTAGACGGATCCTACTGTTTGATATATACCATATATCTATATATGATGCTTCTACAGTACCACGGATAAAATTTGGGATACCACATACATTGAGTATGAAAATGCTATATAGACTTCGAATTAGCAAATTTTTGGGCCTGATACTATACCCTAACTCTTACTGAGTGAACCCTAAGTTCTAATTATCTAAATCATAAACTATAAATCCTAACATGGTGCATTCATTTTTTGCTTCTATTTGGACGAATCATAACCGTCGATTATTGTTTCTAATTAAATAGATATTGGGGTATAAGAGAGAATTTAGACCTAGATTTTGATCTTTATGGTTAGAGTACACTATCATGTCCGAAAGATCAGTCAATTCAAGGTCTGGATAGCGTGTTCATAATCAAGATATGCGGCACCCCGGATTTCACATTGGGTGCCGTAGAACTCGCTATATATATATTGACTATGGTGGCTACTTCGGTGCACCCACTATTTTGGGTGCACTGAACGCACCCACTTTTTGTTTAATATTAACCGTTAGATGTATCTAACGGTTACAGTAAATTGATTTATTTATAATTAATTATTATCTATTAAACTATATTATATTTATTAAAATAATTTATACTTAATGATAATTGCAATTAGGCCCCTCATTAATAGCCTCCGTTGAAACTTGATTTGCCTTTACTCCATCCTGGACGGTGAACCCATAGCCCGGCTCCACCACTTCCCTCCTCTTGCACGATTTTCTACCAAGGATAAGTCTCCACTCGGGCTCCTGGACATAACACGCCGAATATTTCTTGCCCCGTCGTTGCTCAATCTCAGTCCAACCCCGACTTGGCGACTCCAAGAAGAAGATCCAACCACGAACCATCCTTGCCTCGATGGAGTCTGATTCCGAATCGATCCCATTTGAATCGTCGATTCCCCTCCCAACGGCCATGCTCCCGACTTGTGTTCGCCAAACCTAGATGCCAATACAAGCAGAAATCAAAACTTGGGTGGAAACCTGGTTTCGATTTTTTTTTTTTTGTTTCAAAGATTACCTGGTTTTGTTACTTTCATATAGAAGAACAGATATGTAAAGGGGTTAAAGATGGAAGGAAAAGGTCTTTTGATCTATAAATCGTACATATCATCAGACAAACAAAGTTTATGGGTTTGCTAACGTAACAGGCCTAGAGCTGTGTCTTCATTAAGCCCGTGTGGCTTTTATTGGGTCGAGCCGCTCGTTTGGAGAGCCCATACTCACTTCAATTATTCCACTTCAAAATCGTCCAGCTAAGCTATGGTACTCTTTTAATCCATCATAGCCCGGTAAAAGAAATGCTAAGCCCAAATAACACTATCGACAGTTCGTGCCCAGCAGCTGGAAACGGAGAGGCAACTAAAGTTTGCCGGCGGTCGAGTGATTCCCCTGCGAGGCTTCGCCGGAAACAGGTAGCAGTCAGAATTGGTGCAAGGGATAAGGTTTCAAACGCATCGTTTTGCTTTGTGATACATGAAATAACCAATTCGTAAGAAAGTCTTCTATTCTATTTCGGGTAAATGACACATTTGGTCACTGAGATTATTAAATTGTGTCATGTTTAGTCACTAGAAAAAATTAATATCAATTTTGGTCACTCGAATTACCGAAACTGGTCAAATTTAGTCACTCTCCCGTCAGTTTCCGTCCAACTCCATTAATGTAGTTGGACGGAAACTTTTGGGAGAGTGACTAAATGTGACATGTTTCAGTAATCCGAGTGACTAAATGTGACATTTTTCAATAATTCGAGTGACCGGAGTTGGACAGAGGCTACAGAAGAGTGACCAAATGTGACCTGTTTCAGTAATTCGAGTGACCAAAATTGATATTAAATTTTTCTAGTGACTAAATATGACACGATTTAGTAATCTCAGTGACCAAATGTGTCATTTACCCATTCTATTTCCCTTTCAGAGTCCGAGCCGAATTAGGCTGCTTCTGCACCTGCAATTCCATTGCAGCAAAGGGAATGCAGAATTTAACTCCTCATGTTAAATTAAACTCTCTCTTTCACATAAACTAAAGTTTGTTCCGCTTATCCCCTCTGTTGGCAATCAATTTTTGGGTTTTCTCAATCTCAGTCTTTGATTGAAGACATTGTTCGTCTGGATCCCAACACCACCAAGTTCCTCGATTGCGAAATCGTGTGCGCCTTCCACAATTCGGTAGAACTAGGACGGAGTCCTCCCCCCGCCATTCCAATTCAGTTCAGCCTTGTTGCTTCCTCACGTATCCGGAACCGAAAATCCGTAGAGGTAATCTACGCACCTTTCTGTGCTGGTTTTTTCTTGATTGATTTGTGGTTTGGCTGAAGTGTTAGTTAATGTAACGTAATGTACTGGTCTTGTCTTGGTTTCTCTTAACTAGAAGAATATATTGTTTTTCTCTTTTCTATAAATATTAACTAAGCCCTCTAGTTATAATTGACGTTTTCCCTGACTAAACCTCTACCAAATGAAAACTAGTTTTTCTCCCTTATTTTCAAAAGTAAGATCGAGTCAAGTGTGGTTCTCGTCGATTCGCTTTGTTCGTTGGTTTTTGGGGTTTGAGGTACCACTTTGATGGAAATGTACGTCCTATCTATTATGGGAGGAATCATTCCGTGACATTGGGTACTAGAGGAGAATAATATTCCATGATAAGAGACAATGTATTAGTCAACTGCGACGATTGCATGTATTTGCATGATTTATGTGATCTTACATGTTATTTGTTTTGGAAGAAATTCTGCATATGTGAACATTTGTATAACAATTTAGAGGTTTCACGAGTCCTTTGGAACAAAAATAAATGGCACTAAGATGCTATCAACAGACGAAGGCGGGAAGCGATCTACCACTATTGTATCTCCCGCCACTCACCAAGTTAAAATTAACTATTATGGGGCTTTGTTGGATTACATTTTACAAGTGAGCAAGATATTACCCTGCAATTATTTTACTGTGGGCCCTCGAAACCTGAAAGTTGGGCCTTAAAACTAGAGGCCTTATGTCCGAGAAAATTCATTTGAGCCCATAAACATAATTTGAGAGCTCATCTGAATGTTTTCCGATCGAACCCACCCTTTCCTTCTTCAACCTCTTTCTGGTTCTGTTCTTCTACCCACAACACAGGGGACCAACGAAGTTTGGCCTAAATAAAAAAGAATCAGTAAAATTGACGCCTCCGTATCGCTCCAGGCTCAATCAAGCACTAAAAAATCACTTTTCCCCTTCGATTTCCAGTTATCGATCTGAAGCCTTCCCATGCATCTCCGTTGCGGCAAATGGAAAACAAAAAACACAGATCATTTGACTACTCCAGGCTGGCTCTGTCCCTGTTCTATCGGCCATACTCCCGACTTTCGAAAATGCTCTGCAGTCCCTAGGCAATCAATCATCGTCGGCGGTATGACGTGTGTTCGCAAAACCCAGATGCCCAAAAACCCAACAACTCTTCGAATCGAACAATTGAGGACCTAGACTGGGGCGACTGGATGAGCTGGATATAACCGAGAAAAATCGTCGAGCTAAGCAAGGAGATGTTAGCGGGTTAATAAGCCCATTAATTATTGTACATGAGTCTTGGCCCATTTATGATTGTATATGAGTCTTAGCCCATGCAGACGTGATGAACGTGGTAGCTAGGGTTGTGTGGTTTTGGTTTTTGTTGCCTCCTTTGTGAGGTTTTCTACAACTAGTATATAAGGTGAAAATGGATGTTGTATAGGGTAACACAATCAGGAGAATAAGATCAATACCTGAAGAGTTTTCACTCTTTCGTGGATTAGTCCTGGACTCTCTAGGGATACCAGATAAATCCGGTACCGTTCCGTTTAATTCCGATAGTTCATCATGGTATCAGAGCTTCCGCCAATAGATTCTGATCGACCTTCTATTCGGATGACATCTACAAACTTTGCTCTCTGGGAATTTCAATTAAGGGTCTTTGTTGAGGGAAGAGGTCTCCTCGGCGGGATGAATGGGACGATTCCTCAACCCGTACACCGCGTCAGCACATGAGATCTTGCTCTGGAATCAGAACGATGCGCGTGTGTGCTTCTGGCGGTTGGGATCGATAGATTCCTCTACCTGTTTAAGTCTTCGTCTCTTTCCCACCGCTAATCAGATGTGGAAGCACCTGGTGTCGACGTATTCTACGATGAATTTGGCTCGTCAATTTGAAATACAACTTGCCCTGGCTTGGCTGCCGCAGGGAGATCGAAGTATCACCGAATATTTCAATGAAGCTCAAGAACTTTGGACAGAACAGGTTATAGTGTCAGCTGCCTTTCGTCCTCAACCCGGGTCTGCCAACGCAATTGTCGAGAGACAGCAAAATCGTGTGCTCTCCTTCTTGATGCGCTTGCGGCCAGAACTCGAGTCCATCCGATCGACGTTGTTGAACAAGGACGTCCTGAAGCTTGACGGAATCATACCTCATCTTGTGTGGAAGGAAATGAGGCTTCGAACTCAGTCCCAAATTGATCTGCGCCCTAGTGAGGGTGAGACGGTCTTCTCCGCGTCGCAGGACTCGACTGCTTTTGCTGTGCAACGCCCACAATTTCAGAACCGCAATCTACCGTCTGATATTGAGTGCCACTTCTGTCACGAACGTGGTCACCCCAAGAAGCATTGTCGACAGTGGAATCAGTGTGTTTATTGCAAACCGTCCGGGCACATAATATTGGAATATCGAACTCGCCAATGCAACAAGGCGCGCACGGCTGCTAGTAGAGCTGGCGGGGCTGTTGGTTCAGCTCCCATCTTGTCGCAATATCGCCCTACAGCTATTGCTATGAATCATGGAGGACCACGGATGGAGCGACAAGGAGACCGCGCTGCTCACTCCGCCACATTGCTTGATACCGGGAGCAGCAGTAGCGGTGCTCTCACAACGGTCACAGTCGAGCAGTTAGTCAATGCCGTTATTCAAAAATCCCTCCCTACTGCTATAAGCGCGTCATTTGCTACTCTCCAGGGTTCAGGTAATACTTCTCCTTGGTTCCTTGACTCAACTTGTTTTAATCATATGACGCAAGATCATGCTCAGTTGAAGAATTTAATTCCTGTTAAAGATATGTCCTTAAGTGTTGCAAATGGTGAGAAGTTAAAAGTACAGTGTATGGGTATGGTGTCTAAAAAGAATTTGTCCTTGCCGAATACTCTCCATGTTCCTGATTTGGTATCCAACTTAGTTTCTGTGGGTTAGCTTACTAAGCAAGGTTGTTCTGTCATGTTTGCTCTGACTGGATGTGTTATACAGGATTTGAAGACGGGGAGGCAGATCGACAAGGGGAGTAAACGGGGAAGGATTTTTCAACTGGAGGAGCTTCGTGGTTGCCCTTCGTCGTCTGTCAGTAGTCATTTCGATAGGCCTGTCAGTAGTCCTCTCAAAACTTTCCGGCTGCAGCCTGTTCGCAGTCTTTCAGTTTTTCTAGTTTGTCAAATGATGTTATTTGGAACCTTTGGCATTCCCGATTGGGTCATCCTCACTCTGGTCATCTTGAACTCATGTTTCGGCAATCTTTGCTTGGTAAAAATACTATTACTCCTTTGCCTAAACATTCTTGTACAAGCTGCGTAAAAGGTAAAACTGTTAGTTCTTCCTATCCATCGAGCACCACTGTCATTACTGATCCATTTCATATCATACATACAGATTTATGGGGTCCTTCACCCGAGATTTCCCGTTTTGGTTTCCGATACTTTGCTCTTTTTATTGATCATGTCACTCGTTATACTTGAGTTTATTTCTTTCGTCTTAAATCTGAGCTAAAATATGTGGCTACTGATTTTTTGGAAATGGTTCAAACTCAATTTGGTGGTACTGTTAAGATTATTCGGTCTGATCCAGGCGGTTAGTTTAGCTCCTTTCCTCTGTATGATGTGTATCGATCTTTGGGTATCTTAACTCAGCAGCCTTGTCTTGGTGTCTCCCAACAAAATGGCTTAGTTGAACGAAAAAACTGTCATGTTATGGATCTTACACGAGCCGTTCTCCTGTCTTCCCATGTTCCCGATCGTTTTTGGCCAGAAGCAGTTGCCACTGCTGTTCGACTCATTAATTATCAAGTTACTCCTAAAATGAAGAACATCAGTCCCTTCCATGCTCTGTATTGTCGTCATCCTAGCTATTTTGGTCTTCGTGTCTTTGCTTATCTTTGTTTTGAGTTGCGTCCTAAACGGGAGCGTACTAAACTTTCTTCCAAAACTGCTCGATATGTTTTCCTTGGATATAGTGATGTTCATAAAAGGTATTTGTGCTATGATCCATCCTCGTAGCACATGCGCATTGCAAGTACATTTATCTTTTTTGAACATGTCATGTTTCATTCACCTTGGATATCTTCCTCGTGGTTTCTAGATTCTACTTTGCCTCTTCCGTTTTTAGATGACAACCACGATGATCCACTTCCCCTATTGGATCCTTCGGATCCTCCCTCGCCTGGTCTGTCTTCCCCCGCTACCTCGTCTTCAGCTGGCTCTTCGATGTCCCCAGGATCTATAAGCTCGCCCTCGGCTTCCACTTCACCAGCATCACCAACCGGTTCATCATCATCATCAGCTACTCATTCCAGTTCATCATCATACCCGACTAGTTCATCATCCTCACCAGCTACACTGCCTCCAACTCGGCAGTCCACTAGCGCGAATAAAGGTATCCCTCCACCGAAATTTAATGACTATATGGCTTACGGAGTTGATACTTTTATAGTGCCCACTCGATATCGTCAAGCGCAAGGTCACCCCTTATGGGACGCAACTATGAAGCGTGAGTTGGAGGCTCTCCATGCTCAAAACACGTGGACTTTAGTTCCACGACCTCCGGCCTCTACTTCTGTTGTTGGCTGTCGCTGGGTTTACACAGTCAAAATGCATCCAGATGACACAGTTGATCGGTACAAAGCTTGTCTTGTTGCACAAGGTTTTACCCAGGAGTATGGGGTGGATTACAGAGAGACTTTTGCCCTGGTTGCCAAGATGTCCACAGTTCGTACTTTACTTGCTGTCGCCTCTCATCACAACTGGCCACTTCATCAATTAGATGTGACGAATGCATTTCTTCATGGAGATTTAGAGGAGTTTATCTACATGGAACAGCCACCGGGATATGATATTGGGACTCCTGATCAAGTCTGTCGTCTTAACCATTCCTTGTATGGTCTCAAACAGGCGCCTCGCGTCTGGTTTGATAAGTTTCATGCCAC